AAGTTTCAATCGCACTGTACGTGTGCGCCCGCACGTGGTATTTCGTGGAAGAGCCACACTCAAGGGGCCGCAGTTTGCCGACCACTGGCCTACATCATACCGTCATCAGCCTCCTTACAAGGTAAGGAAACTGAGGCACAGAAGGTTAAGTGACTTGCCCTAAGTCACTGTGGCCTGAAACCTCCCTTAAAACTCACCCACCGTGGAACCCCAGAAATACCCCCAAGGGGGGGCCTGGATGGGGACAGGGTACTTTTCCTCAGAGATTAAGAGACAGGGTGACCCCGGTGGCCTAGGCTGTGCTCCTACCTGGAGGTCCAGGGTTCAGGCAGAGCTGTAGGTTTCTAATGGCCTCCTCCACCTCCTGTCTTGGGCTCCCCCCAGACCCTGGGGAGACAGACATATGTGAGGTCAAGGAGAGAAGGAGAGAGGGGACAGGCAGGCCTGGGTCCCCACCATGAGGGGCCCCTTCAACTAGCCTGGCCCCGAACTCTCGCATCTGGGAAAATCTTACTTTAAACCCAGAAGGATTCCAGACATCATTCCCATTTCATAGACGGGAAAGTTGAGGCCAGGAGAGGGGCCCTGGCCCTGGCAAGGCACTGTCTTTGTCTCCTGCCTCTAGACCCTCACTCCCCACCCACGGCCCCCACCTAGGATAGTCTGCTCACCAGCTGGGTCACTCTGGAGGGTCCCTTGGGTGAACAGGTGGACAGGGACCTCAGGTCGGGGAGCCCCTCTCTCCAACAGGGAGTCCTGGGAAGGGAGCAGGGGTGAGGGGTGCCCCAGCCCCTGGGGAGAGGCCTGAAGTGAGTAAAGGGCTCCGGCTTCCCTCCCCAATTTAAAGATCCCCTACTTCTCCCTCTGCTCAATCCCACTGTGAGGTACCTCCTTGTGTCCCCACCCTGAGCCCTCACCTCACTGCCCCACTCCATGAAGTCAGCGTCAGGACCATCTTCTGGACAAGAGGCCTCACTGGGGGTGTAGGGGCCTGAGGGAGGCACAGAATTTGGGGGGTTGCAGAGCCTGGCCCCATGTGGAGGGAGGCACTTGCCATTTATATCCTCCTCTGCACGGTGAGCTGCAGAGCAGGCTGGGAGCCTGGCAGGCATGTGAGTGCAGAACAGCTGTGGGGCAGGTAGGAGCAAGTGAGGGGTGGGCAGGCATGGTACTCACAGGGTAGCTGGCACTGGCTCATTAGCAGCTGGCCCACCTTCCGGAAAAGCCTGCCCAGAGGCTGAGGAATGGCAAAAATGGGCGGGCTGTGGCAGGAGTGGGGTGGCAGCCGGTCCGGAGTGAAACCCTTCAGAGCGGGGTGATAGGGGTGGGCACCCCACTCAGATTGTCTGGCTCCTGAGTACCTGGGCCACCTGGGGTCCGGACCCTCCCTGGACCTTGGCTGAGACGCCCCAGAGAAGGACCCAGGCATCCGCCATCACCT